GAGCGGTCGCTGCCGGAGTCGTAGTCGTCGCTGTACTGCGACGGGGATTTCTGCCGGCAGTGCTTCCTGTGCGAGCCCTCGTCACTGTCATAGTCGCCGCTGCTCTGCCGGCTCCTGTGGCCGGGCCGGCCCAGGGAAGGGGCCAAACACCGTCTCCTCACGACGCAAAGCGGCTGCGGGTCAGCCTTGTGTTTTTTGGTGCCGTGCTCTGGGCAGGAGTTGCCCCCGTCCTCTTTTTTACCGCTGCTTCCCTCCTCAGCAGACAGAGACTTCCTCTGGGACTCCTGCGAGCACCGCTTCTTCTTCTGGCAACGGCCGCAATCTTCCAACCTTCCGACAGCTCCGTTTTTAGCGCTCGTTCTGATTCAGTAGAGAGACAGGATTTGCCTTTTTTGTGCCGGTGTCTTTTCCGTTTCTTGGGCTTCTCGTCCCCCGGGTCAGTTTTTCGGGCCTTCTCATCAGCTTCCTCCTTGTGTTTCCGTTTGTGTTTGCCGGACTTTTTGTGCTTCTTTTTCTTTTTGTGTTTATGGGACCTTCCAGATTTACTCTTACCGGTTACGCTTTTGCTACCGTCCTCGCCCTCTCCCTTACCAAGAACATTCACCAGGTGCTTGTTCGGGGAGCCGCAGGCGGAGAGAGATTTGTTCTCCGTTTTTAGAGCAGAACTGTTCGCCGCGCTTTCCGCCTCCTTGGGTTTGCTCACCTCGCTGGACTCCGCGTTCTGAAGGTTTTCTTTACAAAGACCCCCCGGATCCTTCGACTTCTCTCCCCCTTTACCTTTAGCATCTTTGTTGCGAGAGAGCTTGAAGTCGAAATACAGGGGGTTACAGCTGTACGAGACAGACGGTTCTGCTTTGGTGAATATGAGAAGCTCTGAAGGCCACTGGAGAGTCGTGCTCTCGTCTTTACTCAGAACGGGAAAAAAAGGTCCTGTGGGATGCTTTGGTCCTTCCGCGACATCTTTACAGCCCGAGCCAGGCTGAGCGACCTCTTTAGCAGCGTCTGGCTCGGGGACTTCGCTCTC